TTATATCATTGTATTCTTCTTATTATCTATATATTATTATATTATTCTTATTTTATGATTATTTTTATGTTTATATTCTTTAGATTTTCTTATTGTTATTCTTTTCTATTTAGTTGTATTTGTTTATTCATCTTTATCATTTTTATATTATTATCATTTATATCTATTTTCGATTTATATTTATTCTCTTTTGTTTTATATTAATATTAAATTTATCTTTTATACTTTGATTTTATTATTATATCATTGATTATCATTTCTCGTTTTATTTATCATTTATTCTTATTATTCTTTTGTTTTATATTCTATGTTATATATTCATATCATTTTCATTTATATTTTATCACTTATTATATGTTATAATAATAACATAACACATATGATTGATTATATAATAAACATCATGATGAAGTTATACATATAAATAATAAACATAAAAATAATAAAAAATTTTTCAATAATAAAATAATATTAATTACTTTACAACATTAAATTAGACACTTTTTATTGAATATTTCTAATTTTTACAATAAAAATACACTTTTTATTTCTTCTTTTATTATCTATTCTATTTTATTACTCTTTATCTTCTTCTACTTTTTCTTTATTCTTTATTATCTTTTTATTCTTTTTATATTATTTGTTTTTCGTTGTTTTTCTATTTCTTTCTTCTATTATTTATCAATTTTATATTCATTTATTCTTTTTATTTCTTTTTTATTAGTTCTTGAGTATTGTATATTTCTTTATTATTTCATTTATGTATTATCAAAATATATGTTTTATTGAATTTATGTTGAACAAAATATTGAATAATTCAATATTTTCAATGTTAAATATTCATTATTTATTCTGAAATGTTGTGTATATTTATTATATTAAATGAATATGATGAATAAATATCAATATTATTGTTTATTTGATTTTAAAAAATAATAAATGAATATGAAATAATGAAATAAAATAATGAAGACAATGAAATGATAATGAAATAAAATAATCTAATATTGAACAAATCAAATAAAGAATATATTGAATATATCATTATTGTTACATTATTATTTATTATTTCAATTATTAAATATTAATAAATTATTATTCATGAATATTTAATTGATATTTTACAATTTCATTTTCATTTTATTTAATAAATGAAATATAAATAATGAATGAATGAATGAATAATAATTTAATATATGAAATAATAAAAAGAAAGATAAATAATAAAGAAATATGATGTATTTAATATATAATATAATTTATTATCAAATATAATAATAATATCAAATGATGAATTATTTTTATTTCAAAATATTTTGCATCAATAAAAATGTTGCTAAATATTTTGCATCATTAAATTTTGCACTTTTTTTATTTGTTTCAATAAAATTTGCATCCTTTATTTTTTTCTTTCTTTTCTTCTTTTATCATCTCTTTTGTTTTATTACACTTTATCTTCTTTCTTTTTATATTCTCTCATTTCTACTTTTATTCTTTCTTCATCATATCAAACTTCTTACTTTATTTTTATTCTTTTATATCATTCATTCTCTTCTTTTTCAATTATTTGCTTCTTTTGTTGCCATTGGAGCTAAGTTATGATGGAATGTAATTGAAAAAGCAAAACCACTTATTTCTATAGCATCAGATTTTATTCCAGGTGGTGAAATAATTAAAAAAGGTACAGAAGTAATTAGTAAAATAGCAGAACCTACAAGTGAAGTATTAAATAGAATAGCATCAGGTGAAAATGTTGTTGGAGCAACTAAAAAATATTTAAATCAAGTTAAAAATGAAATACCAAATGATATTACTAAAACAGCAAGTAAAATTATTAATCAAGTACCTGAACATATTTCATTAAAACCTAAAGGAAGAACAGGAGTATCACCTAAACATGCTTTATTTGCAAAAAGACTCAATGGTAATGAAAGTGAAATGAATAATGAAGAAGATTATGAAGATTATGATATTGAAGATTATCTATAAATAATTAACTCTTTATTCTTAATTAATTGTTATGAAATTTGGATTTATCAAAAAGTTAAAGAATATAATTAAGACAGCAGGAAAGAAAATAGCAGGAATAGGAGGAAAGTTATATAAAACAACAGGTAATATAACAACTAAATTAATTCCTATTTCAAAAGGAATAGCATCATTTCTTCCAGGTGGTGAAACAATAGGAAAATTATTAGAAAGAGTACCAAAATGGTATGAAACAAATGGAAAAGCACTCACAGAAATTAGTGAAGGAAAGAAAATAAAAGATGTTATTAAAGATTATGGAAAAACACTTTATAATGATGTTCTTTTAAATAAAGAAAAAGAAATAAAACAAACAAATAATAATTATAATGAATCAAGAATAAATAAAGTGAAAGAAATGGAAAATGGAGTAACAAAAGAATATTATAAAAGAAATTTATCATCTTTATCACCTTATGAACAAGAAATTAATTGATTCAAATTTCATTTAAAATTTAATTGTTCTTTTAAAGTTTTCATTTGTAGAGACTTTAAAATCTCTTTCAATGATAAAATGAGGTCCGTATTTTGAAAGATCACAACTAAGTGCTCCTCCTTCATATAAATATTCATAAAGTGCTTTAACATCTCCTTCAAATTTTTCTTTAGCTTCTCCTCGTATAACACTTGCTGGTATTCCTTTCATTCTTATTAAATATTCTTCAACACCATCTTCATTTGTAAGAATATCTAAATATGCTTTCTTTCCTAAGAAGATTGATTCTTTAGCCCAACTATCTTTTCCTTTTACTTTAGGAAAGTCAGAGTGGAATTGTCCCATTTCACTTCCAACTAATACTCTATTGTATCTATTGAAGTACAGTTCTTGTAATCCTACTAATTCATTCCTTTTAATGTGAATAGAATCAGTGTCTTGATAATAAACTAATATGTTATTATCTTCACATAAATAGATTAATTCATTCATGATTCTTTTAGACATTGAGAGAATGAGAGAACCAATAATGTCAGGAACATAAAAGTCATCTAATTGTTTCTTTACTTCAACTATCCATATGTCTGACCCAAACAATGGTTCTCCATAAATGATATCAACATAATTCCTTCTCCAGAATTGATCACATTTCTTCTTACATCTGAAGAATTTAGTTTCACTGAGTATTGGTTTTTGGATAGTTTTACCATATGAACTATTCATTACTAATTTATATATAATTTCATTTGGATCTTTATTCTTCTTCATATCTGCTCTAATGTTATAGACTTTTTCTATTTCTTTACTTAATAAGTCTGACTTCTCTCCTTCCCAATATATTCCTTCTTTAGCTTCAAACTCTATCTCTTGGTATCTAATTAAATCTTGAAGATAGATAGAATCTACTACCATTTCTACACATTCATTGACATATTCATTTATTCCTTTTGTCCTTTTAAGAATAATAGGCATATTCCTAGGTTTTCCTACTTTATTAATCTTTATACGAACTACAAAATATGATATGAATTTATCATTGGTTGGTATCATTTGTTGTTCATCCATTAAATGTTCAAACATGAATTCAATTGGTTTATCAATCATTTTAGGATATCCTGTTGGTATTAACAATCTTTTCATAGCAGACGGGTATAAGGAACATGCATCGAAGTCAACTATTTCTTCCTTCACTTTCCATTTAATGTTTCTATTGGTCATGTTCCTTCCTCCAATTATTGCTTGTCTTATAAAGTCTCTTAACACTCCATTGTATTCAAATATCCTTCCATCATTAAAACACTTTGATTTGAAATAATAATATGATAATGCACTGATTGTTGAGAATGTATCACAATCTAAATCAAGGTTCTTTTTAGTCATTTCTTTAAACTTAATGAACCCTTGTCTCAATACTTCTACATCTCTTTTACAATAATATTCACAATACTTTTTAGTGTTGAACTTTCCATTAGGTAATAGACAATCTGTTTTAATTAAATTCATCTTAAACTCTTTTATCTTCTCTTTATCCCATTCGGGGTTTTCTCTAAGCCAACATCCTTCAATTGTTCCAACTTCTAAGTTATCAAAATCGTAAAAATTGTATGGGAATATCTCTTTTTCATATTCTCCTTCAAGATTAAAGAAGGATTTGAAATTAGCTATGGAAGTGGGAATTAGACCTAATGAGTCTTTAAATCTGATTTTCTTTCCTTTAAATGTTTTAATAACCATAGAGTATATGTTATGTCCCTTTTTAACTATTCCAATAATCCCATATTGTGCTAGGAATCTTCCATCATATCCAAGATTGTGGAAGTAACAAATAGGATTTTTAAAATTAGATAGATATTCAATAAAGTTCTTTCCACAATCCAATCCGTAGAATGTATTCCATACTCCTTCATTATCCATTACTACCATACAGAATGGAATATGATGATCTCCTCTTGTTATACATTCAAAATCTGCATAAAACACTTCTTCATTCTTTCTTTCTTCATGTTCTTTACTTTCACATACTTTATATTCATTTGAATCAATTTGTTTTAATTTAACTTTAAGTTTTTCTGCATCATATAGACGGAACGAAATAATATCTTCTTTTGTTATTTCTTCAAATGCTCCTTGTTCTTTTAACATTGTTAATGCTCTATAGACGTTTAATGCTCTATCTTTCTTTGTTTTATATTGTCCATTATGTTTTTCATATGCTAAATAATATTTGTTAATATCTTGATTATTAATATTACAATATTCTTTTATTTCATTATGGTTCTTAATAAAGAATGATGTTAATGGAACTTTTTCATTAAATATATAATGAGGAGATTTGTTCCATCTTATTAAAAATATAGGTATTATAATTCCTTCATTTCCCAATACTTCTTTTTTAATGTTTTCTTCATCTTTATAATACTTTAATTCCACTCGAAATTTGTATTTGTTACATATTTTAATAATATTCTTTTTACTGATGTTCTCCGTGTGGATCATGGATTTCATTGATTCAATCTCTTCTTCTTTAAATGCTTTAGATGTTATCAAACACTGAATGAAGCAATTCTCATTCATTCTTATAGTGTTTCTTATATACACTTGATACTTCTCTAATAATGGTGCAATATCTTCCCATTCTTCTTTTAAGTAATATCCAAAGAATCCCCCTTCAATTCTTCTTCTTCTTGGTAATCCCAGGGATTCAACTATAACTTCTCTAACAAGAGCTCCTGGAGGAACATTCAAATTCCATTCTTCATCATCATAATTCCTCCAAAATTCTTCAATACCTATATCAAAGTTAACTAAGTGTTCTAGGAATTCATTAATGTTATTGTTATTAATATTGATTTGAAATGGTCTATTACTGATTGTGAAACCATTACCAAATATCATAGTCACTCTAGCTCCATGACCATTTCTTTCTATAACACCAACTAAGTCTTCTACATTTCCTGCTATTTCGTTCCATTCTGCCTCAGTGAAAGATCTATGTGGAATTAATCTTCCATCATTATCGGCTAATCTTTCATTGTATAATATTATATCATCATAAGGGTTATTATTAATTAATTCATCAATTTGTTCATTTTGAATATTGTTGAGAAATTCTTCAAGGACTTCATCGTTAGAAGAATCACTAACTCTTTCTTCCCCTCTCTGCTGTACTACTGCTTCTTCTCTTTCTTCTACTTCTTCTCTTCTTGTGGGTTCTTCTATTCTTCTTGCAGTTTCTTTGACAGTTTCATTATATATTCTTCTCTTTGTATTTCTCTCTTCTTTCATCTCTTCTTCTAGCTCTTTCTTCTCTAGCGTTTCTTTGTTCTTCCTCTTCTTCAGTATTTTCATGGAATATGTTTCTTTTATTAATCTTGTTAATTCTATCATTAATTGTTATTAGTGCTGTTTTTTCTTTAATATTTTCATTTTCTTCTTGTATATTTCTTTCTTTTCTTTCTTCTCTTCTTCTTTCTGCTCTTTCTTCTCTCTTGTTTCTTTCTCCTTCAACTTCTGATGTATGTTCATGAAAGATATTTTCTTCTTTCTTTTCTTCTATTTCTCTTATTTCTTCTTCTATTTGTTGTATTCTTCTTTCTTTTTGTCTTGTATTCCGACGATTATTTCTCAATAAATTTATTTCTTCTTGTAATGTTTTCTTTAAGTTATTTGTTTTTCTGTAACTCATTTGATATATAAGTTTAAAATGTGAAAAGTTTAAATAATCTTTCATCAAAAAATAAAAGAGATGAAACGAATTATGATTTTAGATTAATAGTTATGAGGTAACAAAATTAATTGATTGTTTGAAACTTTCATTTTATTATTAAATATTTATTAAAAGCATTTAAATTGAATTTATTTTATCTTTCTTTAAATATGTTAAAAAGTAAATGAATAATAAAAGTAAATTAATTTTCTGAATTACTTAGATCGAGAAGAGATAAGTCTATCTCTTCAGTAGAGCTATCCTGATTCAATAATTCATTATTTCTCTTTTGAATTTCATTCCACTTATTTAATAACTTTGTTACCATTTCCATATTTTCTATAATCAGATCATCATTAACCTCACTTATATTAATAACATATAATGCTAAAAATTTCATTAATGGATATTTCATCCATAAATCTTTATCTACTGTTATTATTTTGAGACAATCGTTTACGAATTTTGATAACATATAGCTATCATTTGAAATAATAGTTTTATTAATATTAAGAAAGATTTTTATAATTTCAGATATATCTGAAATAACATTTATATACTCAGATCTGTCATAATCATTAATAAGAGAATAAATGCTACATAAGTTGTCTTTTAATAATGTGAGAATCTGAATAATTTCATTAGATGTATTTAATAATTCTTTATACTGAGAATTAAAAGATTCCTGTATGAATTTAGGTGTTCTTTTTGCTGGATTTACTCTTAAATTATATACCTGTTTTTTATAAATATAATGATTCATTTTGATTCACTAATGATAAAAAACATTTTGAGATTGTTTAAAAATCTACTTTAATTAAATAGTAGAGGCGAACTTTAAAAGATTAGAGTTGAAATTGGAGGTGAAATTAAGAGATATGAGACTAACAATTATTAGTTATGAGGTAATAAAAATAAATGTTATTTAAAACAATAATTGAGATGATCTAAAAATAGAATGTTATATAAATAAAATATAAAATAAATGTTATATAAAACGATTCCACACAATTCACCCTTAATGCTTAATATGATGTATCACACTATTGTCCAATTATACCATAGAAAATAATATAAAAAGATAAATTTAAAATATTTGATAAATAATAAGCAGTTAATTAAGTATTAATAGAACTAGCTTCTATTGTTAATGACTTAGGGGAGACTAATCCCATCAATTCATCTTCTTCTTCTAGTATTTCTACTGAGTATGTTTGGTTGTGATAGAAGCAGTATTCCATGACATTCATCATGTTTTTTATTACAAGGTTTTTAGTTTCTTTCTCGATGTCAATTTCAATTTTTAATTCTTTAATTAATTTATTACTTTCTTTATTTATTAATCCATTAATTGAGACTACTACTGGATTTATTCTGACATCTTTTAATTTTTCTATTTTCATTAGAATATTCTTTAATTCATTGTAATTATTTCTTTTCTTCCAACACACTCAATTAATATTGTGGTCAGCAACATTAGTCATATCAAATAATAGACTAGTTTTATTCTTTTTATCTAATACATATATGTCTGGTATTTTGTGATATTGTCATTCACTTTTAGGCATTATTTGTATATTCCATATCATTGTGATGTCTTTATATTGGAATATTGTTTCATATGGTGGTTTTTATATTGATTATTTCTTGTATATTTTCTTATTAATCAATATTATAATGCCAATATTGTCATATTTTTCTATTTGTGATTTATTATAACCAATACAAGATAGTAGAATGTGTTCTACTGTTACTGTATTGTCTTTACAAAGTGGGTAGTATTTCAATCTTTCATTTTTCATTATTTTTGCTTTCCTATACCCACAAAATATTGCTCCATCTTGCATTTTAGTTAAATGGAGAAATGCATTTTTCTTAATATTGATGGACTTCCATGCTTTCACTGTATTAGTTTTATCTACTCCTTTTGCATCGAACCATCTTCTAAATTTTCACTAATTTGATGATACTTCCATTTTTTGATGTATTTTAATTTCACAGTAGATTATTCCCATTTCTTCACTACTTTCCGTCATTATTCTCAAATCATCCATATATAATGTATGATTTGATTTTGGGAATTTCTCTTCGATGATTTGAGAAATTACATTCATCTGAATGATGAAGAGTAGAGGGGATAATGAATAATTTGTAAAATTCCTCTATTTAATTTAATACTACCTAGATATTCATTAAATTTATAGCCGATGAATATCTTCCATCTAGTCATCATACTTTCAATAATGTCAATGATGACACCATCTACATTAAAATATTTTAATGATTCAATTACCCATTGGTGGTTTATTGTGTCATATGCTTTCTTAATGTCATAATATGACTCATCATATTTTGGGTATTTCTCTTCTTTCTGCTTTAACATATAACTATTAATTATTCATTCTTTAGCAGCGAGAGATTGTAACTTACATCCCAGTTGATTATTACTAATTTTCAATGGTTCACAATTCATGTTAAGTCTTCTGTGAATCTTTTCTTTTAATATGGAGGTAAATACTTTCATAATTACATTTGTACAACTGATAGGGTGATAATTAGTGACATCGTTCCCATTAAACAAGAAACATGAACTGAAATAATCAAGAAATAACAAACAATAAGAAATGAAATTGAATAATCAAGAAGTAACAAACAATATATGAAGTTAGTGATGTCGAATATCCAAATAAATACAATAGAGTTTATTTGAATAAAAGAAGGATAAGAAAATAAACTACAACACTAACTTCAGTCATTGAGTTATAAATACTGAAAATATTAATTTATTATAAAAATAAAAAAATGATTAAATTAAATATCATCAACAACTTTGAATACATCATAATTAAGAATCTGATGTATATCATACAACAATATTTCTCTCCAACTCAAATATACTCAACAGACTCTATGAAATGTCAAATCAACAATAATAATTCAATGTTCAACAAAGAATAACTCTGTTATTACTTTACAAGTTACCTGTTATTATTTATGATATTTTTTATTTTTTCTCAATAAAATTTATAAGTGCTGACTTATTATTTTATCGTACTTTCATTCAAAAGCTGTTTTTATTTTCTTTTTTTTTTCATTAGCTCAGATAGTATTGGATATTCATTAGATTAATAAATTAATAACTTAAATTATATTTTTAAGATAATTTTCTTAACATCTTATTAGAATTGGATAGATAAACAAGAATAAAATATATATTCTAAATTTATTGTAGAACCAAAATAAAAGCTAGAATAGAGTGTTTTAAAACAATAAAAATTGTGTTTAGTTGAATAAAATAAAGAAATTTGAGTTATTTTTATTCAGAGACCTTCTTTGTTCCTTTAACAACTTCTCCCCATCCAACAAGCCTCCATCTTCTTTCTACTTTTCTAGACATTGCAATTTTTCCACCAACAGTAGTACAGACAGGTTTCATTAATGAGATTTGAGCCATATCGTCTTTCAAAGCCATAACCTTACAACCAGTGTGAGTACTTCCAATGTTGATCATTAAAATATCACCAGCAACTAATGGCTTAACTAACGCTTCTCCATCACTGCTTTCAACTCCTAATAAACGAGCTAACAAATAGAATTTAATTTGAAGTTCAACAAATACAGGAGGCAATGAACCTACAATACCGGCGACTTGACCAGTAAGTTTATCAGCACGACAAAGTGATGGATCTAAGCTAGTACCAACACCAATTAATCCTCCAGGAACAGCAAATTGAAGTTCATTTCTTTCAGCATGAAGTGAAATAATTTTAGTAAATAATGGTTTGCAAGTTTGTTGATTTTTACTATCTCTGAAATTAAAACCAGGTCTAATTTCTATTTCGTCACCAAGTTTTAACATTCCTTGTGATAAAGTTCCTCCAATAACTCCTCCAATTAAGTCCTGAGGTAAAGTTCCTGGTTTATTAATATCAAATGAACGAATAATAGTCATTCGTGGATTAACTTTAAAATCTCTTTGTGGAACAGGGATAGAATGACAAATATATTCACACACTACATCCATATTATATTTTAACTGTGCACAAATTGGAATAATTGGTGCATTTTCTGCAATACTTCCTTTAACAAATTCTTTAATTTGTTGATAATTCTTTTGTGCATCTTCTTTAGTTTTTACTAAATCGATTTTATTTTGTAAAATAATCATGTGTTTTAATTTCATGAACTCTACTGCAGCTAAATGTTCACTGGTTTGTGGTTGTGGACATGGTTTATTACCTGCAACAAGTAATAATGCTCCATCCATAACAGCAGTTCCAGTAAGCATTGTCATCATCAATGAATCATGGCCTGGACAATCGACAAAACTAACATGTCTTAATAATTGCATCTTATGACCACAACCTGGTACTTCACAAATTGGGTTGTCTTCCTTAGCTGATCCATAACTTCTGTAACAACCTGGTTTAGGACAATTTGGGTTTGTGCATTTATAAATCTTAGCATTAGCATAACCCAAACGAATTGTCATATTTTTCTTCAACTCTTCTCTAAATTTGACTGTATGTACACCTGATAATGCTTTAACTACTGTTGATTTACCATGAGCTACATGACCAATAGTACCAATATTAATTGTTGCTTGTCTTGAAATGACACAAGGTGTAAGAGCAGTTATTTCATCAATATTAAGAGAAGAAAGATCTTGCTTCATTAAATTTGAATTTGCGTCTCCATTAGTAGGTGCTTCAATAACGATTTCCTCCATTGTCTTTTAAGTTTCTTTTCATTTTTTCTAACTATTTTCAAATTTTTACTATTTTTTTATTATTCTTTTTATAAAACCCTATTTTTTATTTTTGTTTTTCTTTTTTATTCATGACAATGAACCTTTTTCTCTTTGCTTAATACCAATTTCTTCATTTAAAAGAGAAATTAATAAATAAACAAATCCTTTAGCTAATTACTTTTTATTCTATTGTCATCTCATTAACAACTTGTGATAATGCGTAATAATAGTTGTATGGAAAATGATCACTAAGACTTAATACTTTAATAAAAAGCCAACCAAACTCTTTATTTTCTCGTTCATACAACCAATATTTTTTAATGTCTTGTTCTTTTCTTTTTTGGATATGAAATACTCTTCCTGGTGGTACTAAGACTGATGAGTCAATAGTATTTGTTGATTCATAAAAACGATTGAAAGCTTGTTGGTATTGTTCAGTTGTTTCTTTTGAGTTAAGAGAGATTAAACTGGTATTATTGTAAATTGACCGAAACTCATTGATTAATGGTTGGATATTTTTAATTGAGTCAAAAGAGAGTCTAGGAACAATATCATTTTTTGATACTACTGAATCAATCAATGAACGAACTAATGGTGATGAAGCTATATTCAATGAAAGAACTAATGCAGGTGCTAAACAATAACCATGAACTAACCAATCAGGGTGATTTTTATTAATTTCTAAAGTCAGTAATTGGGCAACTCCACCACCAAGAGAATGACCAGCAATAGTGATTTGAAAAGAGGGGTATTTCAGTCTAAGCATTTTTAGTGTTGGGATGATTTGTTGATATTTATTAAGAGCAGCTTTATAGATTCCAGCATGAGTAAATCCATCGATTCCAGCAAAATTATAAGGTACAGGTTTAGCACATAAATCTACTTTAGCATCATTAAGAGAAAAAGTACCTCTTATGACAACAGAAATAGTTTTTAATGAGTCAATGACAACAATGAAATAGGCAGGGTCAAAGATTTCAGAAGTCCATTGATATTTGACAAAT